AGGGCCCAACCGGGTTCGAACCGGTGACCTCTTGATCTGCAGTCAAATGCTCTACCACTGAGATATGGACCCGTTGGTTAATCTGGCGCTTTTTTTATAAAAAAAATTGGAAAACAAAAACGAAAGAAAAAGAACGTGAAGAAAAGGGCCCAACCGGGTTCGAACCGGTGACCTCTTGATCTGCAGTCAAATGCTCTACCACTGAGATATGGACCCATTGGTTAAATCTTTTGAACTTATATATAGAAATATTAATACACCGTTCTTCCCCCTGGCGATCGTCGTTTGCATGAGCAGTGTGGCAGACCGCAACTGTAACGAAGCCAGCGATCCGTGGTCTTCCATTTCGCCCTCTCTTCTTCAGCTTCGGCTTCGAGGAGAGAAAAAAAGGAAACAAAAGAATGAAGAGGGTCATCATTCGTTCGTTTCTACGCCCCCTTCTGCACCTATCTTTACTCGATTTCTCTGTACTACTTCATCTCTCTCTCGTTCTTTCTAGTTTTTCCCTGTTTATGATAGGTGAAGTTATGGGAAAGCAAGGACATCAACATGATGGGTGAAGACGAAGACGAGTCGTTAGATGATGCCGCTGGAACGCCCCTATCGGAGATAGCAACGGCGTTCAGAGCTCGCTAAGTCCGTCACCACCAGCTCCGATGACCTTCGGTTGGCACCCTTCTGCGACGCCTGCTCCCTCGTCCCCGTTCTCTTTAGCTGCCTTGGTGTCGCCTTCAAATTCGCTGAATTGGAGTATGTCTCCAAGGTTCTCTCGCCCCTCCTTACGTTCCTTTAACCCGCTTCTTGTTGTTTATCTTGCTTGCCTAAAAAGAATAAATAAGAAGTCTACTGTTTTTCTTTCCTTTTGTTCTAAATAAAAGTTACAGTAGTTACGCCGGAAATTTTGTTAATTTTGTATGCAATAGCTCACAGTTGGTCTGTTTGGGTCTCGGCATTCGTGTTTGTAAAAAGGGAAAAATTATAGCATGCACCTGCTATTAGGCTGCAAGTTAATTCAAAAATCAATAAAACTGACAGCCAGCTCTACATTTAAAATTATAAAAATCTCTGCTAATCCTTTTTAACTTATGTTAGACACAACAAAAAATTTATACTTAATTTTTTTTTCTCTGCAATTGTTCTCCCTCATTCTCTTTATCAGCCAGTCCTTCCTTCTCTCTCATTCTCTTTCTCAGTTAATCTCTCCTTCTCCATTAATCTCTATTGTTCTCTCTCGATATCTCTCTTGCTCCCTCTCTCGTTCCTTTTTATTTTTCTTAACACTTATATGGCATTAATTGGACATTATAACAAATAAGACCAATCATTTGTACAAACAAGTTATAAACTTCTATCAAGTTAGTGTAAATTTTATAGTCAAAAGTTTCTTATTAATTTTTATAAAATTGGGTTGAGGAAGTTAGAACCATACCAAGTTGGTCTTTTATTCTTTAATACGGTCTGAAAGTGTGTAAGAAAAAAAAAAAAAACAAGAAAGGGAGTGAGAGGGAAGCTGAGAGAATGAGGGAGAAGGAGAGATCGACTAAGAGAGAGAATGAGGGAAAATGAGAGATTAACCGAGAAACAAATAAGAGAGATTGAGGGAGAACGAGAGGGATTGGCAGAGAGAATGTAAAGCCCTTTTTCAAATGACAGTTGTTGAGTAGAGAGACAACTATGAGAGCAAGAGAGTGGGAAGGAGATCGAAAGACAAGGGAGTGGGAGGGAAACTAAAAACTCTTTTTTTTTTATTTTCAAATAACCTAGCATTAAAGGCAATGTCAGTATAAGCTTTTTTAAAGTGTCCAACATGGATTAAGAGTCCCATGTTGGCAACAGCCACATAGGCCTCTGATGACATGACGGGGATTTTTATAATTTAAAATGTACAGTCGATTATTAGATTTTTGTTGGTTTATGAACCATATCATTTTAAATGTTGAGTTGGTTCAAATTATAATTTTCCCTTGTACAAATGCACAATGTCAAAGACATTTCTTCTGAGAATCCACATGAATCAAATGCTATCATCAACAATAAGCGAACCAGGAAGGAAGCGGCATGCATCTGAAACTGGCCTATACTGATACCTCTTAATGTAATTCTTGCACTTTCAGATGTCAGACATCAGAGCAAACGAACAGGCTCTGATTGTAATTTAGAATTTAGAGTTCAATCTACATTGATAAATTGATAAAGGTTTCACACTTCACAGAGTAAGGAAAAAATCAAAATAGGTCGTGCTTATGTAAAACTGACCCCCATATAAAAAAGCAAGGTATTTTATACTTCCCATTATCATTCAAAAATCTTGAAAGTGATCTCTTAGAATCCAAGCAAAATTTTCTTCTAGGTCTACTTTTGGTGTCAATTATATTCTATTTACATACACGAGGAGCATTAGTAGAGGAAGGTTCAATTCTCCTACTCATTTGTTTCTAGTTTTTGGAAATGGTTTTTCTCTATTTTTCAGCACAGGTGGGAAGCTTGTTCCAATTGGCCTTCTTTACCATGCTAAGAAGAAGATGGAAGATCTTGTGGCGTTGTACAAGGGAATAAGTTGTTTGAAATTTTTTATAGTAAATTAATTTTCATTAAAGGAGAAAGGGAAGGTAGAACAATGAAAAAGTAATAAGAAATCATCCCAAATCAAAAAATACTTCAGAATTAAAGGGAAAAAAATCACGCTTACACTACCTTGCCAAGCACAAATTCAAGCCTTATAGGACTTCAACGGGAAAGAAATGCAAGAAACTTTATGAAACTTTATGGGAATGCACGTACGTAGCAAAGAAGCAATCGTTGATGTCTATACTCTATAGCATTGAGAATCTAAGATTTTCAGTGACAAAGTGGATGGAAAACAGAAGTCTAGGTCCATGTAATACCAATACATGTTGGGGAAGACAAAATTGTTGGCACAGGAATTGAATTCCGCTTTTATTGGGTTAAGAACTGTGAAGAGAGAGAGAGAGTACAAATACTTTGGCTGATGCATTTGGGTTAGGTGGCCGTTCACCAGCCTATGCCTAGGGATGTTTGGCATATCATACACAAGTCATTCTTTTCATGATTTAGTAAAGCCTAACAGTTAACAATAAAAAAAAAAAAAATAGTTGTTTCAAATTTCTTTGCATTTAATTCATATCCAGAGCTACCTTAAAAAAAAGGCCATTACTCAATGTTGGTCACAGCTATCCGAGGCCTGAAAAGGGTGAAATAAATGAGTTTCGTTTCGCTCCATCCTGAAAGTACATACTTCCAATTTTTCATGGTGACTGTTCAAGTCACCTCACTTAATATTCAAAAATTTTCAACAAAAGGAGGCATCACTGAGTTATCCACAGTGAAAAAAAAAATTCCGAAATAGATATGGTCCTAATCTTTGGCATTTTTGCACAAATGGCCGCTCTTAGACTCAAATCCGCAATCTCATGTTTGACAGCCTAAGGTTTTACCATTACACCAAGTAATGGTCCTTGTGGAGCTACCTTCCTTGATTATCTCAAAACATTCTAGGTGCAATCTCAAAGTGAAAATCAATCCTTTAACCAAACAACAGTGATATTCCTTTATGTGCAGGTCAAGCACCCACTTAAAAAATCTGGGGTACACCTGGTCCCCCTCTGCCAGCCTTATTGAGGCCACAGCATGTCAGAGGCAGATGTGAACCAGGTGGTACATATATGCACTTGGAAAAGACATATTTGACCCTTCATTTTAACAGGATTTTTAATCGTCCCTACCAAGCTCCTCATCTACCTTTCAGAGATGACCAAAGAGTATCAATTTATCTTATATATGGCACTACAGCGCCTGAAAATGTTAAAGAAGCTGATAAAGAAAGGTTGTAAGGTAGTTGATTACTTATGCTCATAAAGCAACATAAGTTTTAAATGCATTACTTGATTTCAGGGTTGATTACTGAGACATGTATGTAGATGTGAAGTCTCAGATATTTTTATATATTTTGCATAAAGAATGCGATTTAAGTTTGCTGATTGAATTTTTTATTGATGGTTTTTTTCTAAAGGCTCAGTTTAGAAGGAGTACAAATACAAATATGTGCACTGCAAATACATACAAAATACAAGATTTTGCACTCTACATATTTGTATTTGTACTCCTTCCAAAGGAGCTAAACTTCCATCTATATAGTTCCATTCACAATGTGAGAATTCAGAATTGGTTATTTTCATGATTTCAATCACTGTTCTTGTAACTTCTCTTTTTGTTGTAAAGTTAAATACTCAACATGGATGTAATGCATTCATTGATACATTCAGGTACGTAATCTGGTAGAAGCATCAAAGACTTATGCTACTTAACATAACATACTTGACCATGATGTTAAAAATGACACAGTGAGAAAGCCAGGGAGCCTTTCACGTAATTTACGCAGAGTCAGACAGGGCCTCGACCTCATCAGAGAATTATTTGGACAATTCCTGGCAACTAAGTATGTTTTACTCCTTTATCGAGAGCATTTTTTTTTCTTTCACATCTTATAATTTGAACATAGTTGTCAACCTTCCATCATGACTGGTATGACTGAAATTCGGGCAAGCTACTGATTCTAGATTCTTTAGAGTGTACATTTTCTTTGCTGATAACTGTGGCTAAATGATTTATATGTTTGGAAAACATTGTTTGATTATGAAGTAAAATGTTGAGGAAGTAATTCCAATTATTCTAGTTTCTTCCATTTCCTCTATTGGTAACAAAGAACAAAGAGACGTATTTGAAATTATGCATTACTGTGTCTTAATATATCCCTTTCAGCTTTATTGATTTTTTATACAAAGTGAGTCCTTCACCGGGCTTCTGTGATCAATGACCCATTCTTCACTTGCATCTTTGGGCATTGTTCTTTCACTTGAAAGGACTGAAGATGAATTCTGTGTGCTTGGTACACATAATCCAATAAAAGGTTAAATCTGTTAATGCTAGCACCTTGTAAGTTATAATATTTTCCACAGATCTTGACAGCTGGTTTGGAAATCATTCCTAGAAAATATTAGAGGCTTCTGAAAAAAAATATATAAAATCTGAGAGTTTTCATCTTCTCTGAAATCAGCTTCGAAGTTTCCAATAATAGGCACCTTACAGACCTTCCTCATTATGCTATTTTTCTTATATTTTTCTCAACTTCTCTTGTAAAAGAATAAAGATTCTTGAATGCCCTGTCTAGATTGGACAGAGGAACTGGACAATTTCAGTTAATTCAGTAGTATCCTTCTTTGTAATTTCAGTTATGCAAATCGTTTCTAGATATAACGACTAGAAGACTCAAAATATTATATAAAAGAAAATCTTATTAACATATTATTGAAGAGAGGACCTTTAGGTTTAACTTGTTCTATCTCAAAATATTATATAAAAACAAGCACATTAGCACAACTTTTCCAATACCAAGTACATTTGCAAGGTATTCTAAGGCTTGGGGATGAATGTTAAAAGAAATCATTAGAATGGTAAAATGGAAACTCATTGATGATTTTTTCCAGTTTAGAAGAATATGAAAAGCATGTTCATCCCAAAGAATTACTTATTAGAATCTATTTATTATTTGGTTCCAGCTATCCATCAGACAATTATTGCCTCCATATTACCAAGTGAAGCTATACATGTGAATCATAATATCGCTAAAAAACATGTTTTTATCAGCTCTAAGAAAACAACATGTTTAAGAGTCATAAAATCAAGCAGAGTCAGGACTATCACAGATGATAGTACATCTGAATAGGTGGATTATGGGGTTCTGCAGTTAGCTTTTGTTTTAGGGGGATGCTAGGCTTGTTCTCCCGTTTTTTCCATATTCTCTCTTTTTCTTTTTTTTCATTCCATGGTATGCTTTTTGAATGCTCTTGGTCTTTTCCATTATTGATAAAGAGATACAACTATTATACATAATAGATTGAAAGTATAAAAGTACACCAACATTCTACGTAAAGTATGTTTCAGTGCAGATCAACTCCTAGTATCTTTAGCAATGATGAAACCTAACATGCATTCTTTAACAAGATGTAGCTAACAACCTTAATATTGTAACCGCGGATTCATCATATTAGGTAACCTATCAATGTGGGCTTAAATACTAAATCAAGGAACTGATTTATCTTCAGGATAGACCATCATGTGGAGTGACCTTGTTGATTGGCCACAACAAATGGAAGTGTACCAGACTTGGAAATTTGGAAGTTCTCATGGAGGGACTTATTTGATGCCACCCTTACGAGGTTTAGAGAAAATGGCCACCAGCTTGCCAGTGTCAAACCCTAAAATGCACCGCATATATAACAGAAAACAGAAGATTCGGTGACACAGTCCACAATATAAATGCAATGCTGAGGGAACAGACTAGGGTCATATTTTTTATTTTATGCTAATTTGTGGGCTCAAAACAATATCTTTGGATGATCGAGCTACTATATTACAGTCAAAAGGGTGTTAAATCTGTTGATCTTTCTCTTAAAATATATAAAAGAGAAAATATTAAAGCAGAATAAAAGGTGTCATTCACTTATACATGGGAAGCTAACTGCAGTCTTTTCATGATTCTACATATGTCACTTCATTAGTATGTCATATCAATGAGAAGTTGCTTTAGCAATGTTCATATAGGCCCTTGCAAAGTCATCATCTATTTAACTAATAATACCATTGTTGTCATTGTTTATCAATGATGATGAGTCATGTATCCACTTTTCAGTGAATGCTCTTTAAGGGAAGCAGCTTCAACAGCTTATCCACAAGTGTTTGCACAATACCATACATGGGCTATCAGGACTGCAGTTGGTGCTGGACTGTATACACTCCCAACAAGGGAACAACTTGTAGTGAAGTTAAATGAAACCAGTGAGTTTGTGAACACTTTTCAGTAAAGTAACTTATAGCTTATGTGGATTACTTCTCAAAAGAAATTTAAAAGTAATTCATTTTGGTGAGCACTTGGGTGTTAACCATGTAATGAGTTTTTTATCAATAACAGATCAGCCAAGATTTTATTTGTATTTGAAGAAAATAAGTAGACTTACTTAGCCTGGGTCAGCTAGCAAGTCCAAGTACAGTCATGAGAATTCAAAAATCAGCCTCATTTTTAAAACTGCCTGTCCTCCAAGACAGGACCCCAATACAAACAGTCCCAAGAGAATCAGCCATGCTCCTAGGGATCCATTCAAACCAGATGTTCAATCAGGACGCAGATGACCCAGGTTCCCTCATACATGGTCATAAAGCCAAGGGATTAATCTGTCACCCATGCACCAGCCTATTACAACTCTGGAATCCCTTTCCATTTCAAGTTCTAAGTACCCCATAGCCACTGCCAATTTTAACCCTTGTAAGATAGAGACTAGAGAGCAGCACAGCACAAATTGAGTTACCATTTCCAATTGGACTAGTATAAATTGTCCACATCTCACTTGCATTGTTTCTGAAAGTCCTAATTCCTGAATTTCTGGGGTTTTCAATGCTTCACAAATCAAAGCTGATCTTGATAGAAGATCCTGATATGGAGCTGAAATGTCTAATTCTTCTCTTGTTTTAAGCCAATTACTATTCTTTCTAAGATCATTAGAAAATGAGAACATTTTTGGATATACAGGAATATGTTGATATATTCAACATATAGAAGTATTGTGCCTCTGAGTTCCACTGACTGCCTGTCATGATAATCAATCGCCAACAAGTATCTCATTTGGAAATCATTGAAAGGGAAAAAAAGAATAGAAAAAAATCGCATTCTATTTGTTATAAAATGAAAGCTTTTTTAGCATATTCAATATATTTGTTATAATAAGTAGGCTGTGCTCTGTTAGTGTTCAATTGTTTTACCATTTTCTTGTTTTATCCCTTTACCTAGCTTAGGTTGTGAATACAATGTTATTATTGGATCAGCAACATCTAATAAGAAATGAATGTAAAACAGAAGATTAGAACTTATAACATTTTCTCACTGAAGCATATAAAACATTTTGTTTGGATCAAACCATGTTAGAAGTGAGTGATGAGCTAGTAATTCTTTAATATCATTTTAAAGGCAAAATGTCAGACAGATCTGTTTTCAGGTGTTATATTTTTTTTATTTATGTAGTACCACTACCTCTATTGACACATGCCACTAGAGTTCTTATTCCTATATTTGATAGAAGAAACGTAGAAAGAGAAAATACAAGCCAAGTTGTATGATCAACACCTTAGAACTAGTACTGAAAAGCAGAACCAGGAAAAAAAGGAAACGGGATCAACCTGTCCAATGCCAGTAACCAGAATACAAGCTCTTGAGCTAACGAGATGGAAGGAAAACAAACCTCTTCATAATAATTCAAAAATCAGAAGATAAATGGCATTCTCTGTTTTGAAAATTATCCTTGTATGAGAGCTATAGTGGGTTCAGTTGACACTCAGCTCAGTTGGCATTGGCCCAGTCAGAACTGTTTCTTTCTTCTTTGGCTCACTTTTGATTGGATTTAATGGATAAATTACCTTGGTAATTGTTAGTTCTTCCATCAATTTCTTTGTACCATAATGTATTCTCATCTTAGCACGTTTACTTTTGTAGGAAAACCAATGCTAGCATCACCACAGGCACTGCCACACACAGGATTCATGAAATCTAACCTTGAGTAGTTGGCTATTTACACTGAAATCTATGATGCTAGCATTGCTTTTGTTCTGAATCTACGTTTCTTTCTTGTCTATTGGAGACGGGAGACCCTCAATACTTCATTATTGTTGCAGACCACTCAGCAAGGAAGGAAATGAAAAGGTACATCAATGCCTCACTCACTTCCGGTTATAGAATACATTGATGACCTGTACATCTCTAGGAATATCACCTTGGATTGGTGACATAATCTGTAGGCAATCAGCTTGGCGCTAGCACCATACTTGCAATTTGTCTGGCCAGCAGTTAACATGAGAAAGAATCTACAAGTTGTATGAGTGACATTCAAGTCTACAAACGGCCTACATATTGTTCAATCTTTTTGCGAGCGCCATTCTTGTTGCGTCAAATCCTGGTTGAAGTGATCTTCGGGCATTGTTCCAGTTGATAACAAACATCCTCAAGTTAGACAGCAGATGATACTAATCTTCATTGTCCAAGACTAAAAGTACAAGGTGTTTGGGCATTAAATTGTTGGAATTCTTCCCTTTCATTGGTATAGTTTGTTTGAACCATTTCAAAAGAAAATTAGTGTAGTTTGTTGACAAACGAGGATGTCAGTTTTCATCCAAAGGCATGTTAACACCAGCTGCAGCAAGCAGCATTATGCCTTTCTGTAGAACGCAAGTATTGTATATCTGGCGTGAACCAATTTTAGCAAGTCATTGTAACAGTTATCTTGCTTTGATCTTCCTTTTGTAGAATTTAATGAAATTAGTACGTTCAAGTCCAGCTGATACAAAGCATTCTGCTGAGATATATTTTTGTCTTCTGTCCTTTTTTTTTTCCGTGGGGAGGTAAGCTGGACTTGAACATATGTTTCATTATTCAGAAACATATTGTAACATTTAAGCTACATGCTCAAGCCCAATATCATTATCCATTATAATTATAGGAATAATACCGGTTGTACACTTAACTTTTAAGCCTCCCTCTTTCTTGCAACAGTCTTTGTAATTTTGAACCGAGTAGTTGAACAAAAAGCTTGCCTTCGGGCTTGTTTTCTCAAAAAAATAAATAAATAAATAAGTAAAAGAATGTGGTTAGCAGAGCTTTTCATGTTCAACCATCTAAAACTCCAAACTTCTGATTTTGAATTGTTGTTGTTCACTATGCTCTGTTTCTGGCCTATTCCACTGGTGCACAATTGTGCTCTGATTTGGGTGGCTTCAAGAATTAGTATTTTCCTTGAGAAGACGACTTTTTATGTCTTTGAAGCATGATTTTCAAAACCGGATCGGAATGGACGGTTGGACTGGAAAAACTGGAAACTGGTCAGGTGATCGGTTCCGTTTTACCCATAACCATTATTTCGCCAAAAACCATTGATTTGGTCAGCAAACCGCTGACCTAGGCGGTCAAACTGTTTGAACCATCCAATGGTTTTGACTTTTTTTTTAATTTTTTTAATTTTGTAATTTTTATTTTTTATCAAAATGAACCATCCATTTGATTGGAACAGTCGGACCATTTGACCCGGAAACCGAGCCCTGACCGATTCGTTGTTCAATTTAGTTTAAAAAAAAAAAAAAAACTTGCTTTGGAGTACTGTAATGTCTTATTTTCTGGTCAGACGTATGTAACGTGTAAAAAAAGGAAGAAGACCTGTCTAATCAAGATGCAATAGGGGAAAAAAGGTTCAAACTTCTAGGACGCGTGGAATCGCGCCAGCCTGGTCTTGCTTCTATCTAACTAGATGAAAATAAAAGAATGATCATATGCAGGCTTGTTTTTCTGACAAATATGTGTGATAGACAAACTACATTGTGCAGGGGTAAGGCTGTGTTCATCTGCCCCTCCCCAGACAAATGGGATTTCCTACCCATTCTCTATCCACCGTGAATGGCAGCCACACATCTTTCAATTCACGGTAAGTAGAGAGTGGATAGGAAAAGTGAGTAGGAAATCTGGGTTCCTCCCCAGATGCCGCTTTGGTAGGAGCCTCGTGCTGCCGTTTGTGTTCGCCACAGACAGATAGGTCATGTTGGGTGACCTCTTGGAAGGATTAAGCTTCCTGTCAAAGAATTCTATCTTTTGCTCTTCTTTCCATGATTCCATCTTTGACCAACTACCATGGATCTGAATTCTTCACTTGTGAGATGGTGGCTGGTGGGTCGTTTCCAGGACATGATTGAATCCACAAAGGTTCAGTTATTTGGAGTGAAATTTTCTTTGAAAGGTGAAAAAAACACGGGAACACAAATTTTGGTTTGCTTTTATTTTAAGCTTTACTTTGTCTTGTTTGTTTGCAGTGCATATAAAGTGAAACTGAAGCAAAGTAAAAATTAAATCTGAAGTTAAGTGAACCAGATTTTGCATTCTTCTGATTTGCACGCCCATGCATTTAACTGGAAATTCAACCCGAAAACGCCCTGTTGTTGTTCATGTGAAAGCACGTATGCATGCAAAGAACAGAGAACCAAGGGACCCAGCAAAAAGTAAATGTTTATAGGAAGAATAAAAAATGCCAACAGTTCACTTGTTCACTAACATCTCTGGTCTATATGCCTATATGGTTTCTGATATTTCTGGGTTAGAAAATTTAACACAGGCCCATCGAATGCACTGCACGCTTCACCTGGCGCTCTGTGGGGCGCCAATGTGTTCTCCATGAGGATTGAGGATAGACTGGTACTGATGGCAGTTCTGCAGTTCCCCGAATAACACAAATCCTCACAATTCTCTTGATGGAGAGAGAGAGAGATATCAGATTAGCTTAAACAACATTCAAATCTTGAAGAATAAGTGGCTGAAACCACACGGACTTCCAAACTAATCAATCTGCAGCTGTGGGAAAAAGAATATTGTCATGAAAACTAGAATGGATTGTTTATTCATCAAAAAAAAAAAAACTAGAACGGATTTTCATGGGAGGATTTTCAAGTTGTTATCCCAACCCTTATTGAAAGCATGATCGACATGTGAGAAGAATACAGCGTACTAGCAACTTTTTTTCATGGATAGCGTACTAGCAACTTTTCTTAACAAGTCTGAAACTCTGAACAAGTATAACATACAATAAAACATCAAACATCTGCAAGACTTCTACCATGACAGCTACAAACCAACTCCTCAGCCATGGACCATTTGTGTGCCACAGAACTCCATCATGGCTTTTCATCCAATACAAAACCGGCAGGTCCAAGATAACTGCATCTTAGTCAACATAAACCAAAATTGTCGTCTACAATGTTAGGCTCTCTGGATTCTCAACAATCTTTGCAAATGTCTGAAGGAAAGCTGCCAAGTCAGCACCATAGATTATTCGGTGATCAGCTGTAACATTCACCTGAAAATAATTGCATTTCAACTGAGTCAGGGTGGTCTAACAGGTGAACATTTCAAGTGTTCAATTACTAGCAATGTTTTGGTCAATCTCCTCCAATGCTTGACCAAAGCTTTTTTTTTTTTGTTTCTAAGCTCAATATTAGCAATAAAATGTAAATTGCAGAGCACCACAGACCTGAGATAGGCTAAAGCTAGAAGAAACGCAGAGATAATCCAATTCCCTTTTATGTGCAAATGCTATAAAATATTTTATTTGAGACTACACAGAAATTTAATAAGATAATGAAAGACATGTCTGATGATTGGAGAAACAACAGTATGATGTCTATATTTAAGAAAAAAGATGATAATACAAAGTTGTAATAATTATCATGGGATTAAACTTATAAACCACACTATAAACTTTGGGAAAGAATAATTGAACAAAGATTATGACTTGAAACAAATGCATTAGACAACTAATTTTGCTTTATACCAGGGAGATCAGCCATGGAAGCCATATTTCTTTTAAGACGATTGATAGAAAAGTTCAGAGAGAAAAAGACAGACCTTCATATGGTGTTCATTGATTTAGAAAAGGCATATGATAGAATTCCTAGAGAGAAAATATGGTGGGTCTTGGAAAAGAAAGGGGTTCAAAATAGGTATGTATACCTAAATAAGGATATGTTTGAGGGGGGCAACAACTATTGTTAGAACACCAGTGGGGGAGACTTCAGAGTTCAGATTTTACAGTTATTATGGGTTTTCACCAAGGTTCAGCGCATAACTATTATCTATTTGCACCAGTCATAGATGAATTGACTATACATATTCAAGAGGAAGTTCCAATTCATGTTGTTAAGGATGGCATTGTTTTAATTGATGAAACTAATAAATGAGTAAATGCAAAATTAAGCTTATGGACAAATGCCTTAGAAAGAAGAGGTTTTAAAATAAGTAAGACTAAAACAAAGTATATGACATGTAAGTTTAGTAAATAATAAGAGTGTAAATCAAGATGCACTTATGATTGGAAACCAAAAGATAACTAAATGTAACCATTTCCAGTCCAGTACCTTGGTTCAATAATTCATAACAAGGGAGATATTGAGGAGGATGTTACCCAAAGAATTAGAGCATGATGAGCAAAATGGAGGGGTGCATCTAGAGCCTGGACTTTTATGTGATAGGTGAATACCACTCAGATTAAAAGGAACATCCTATAAAATAATTGTAACACTAGCTATGTATGTTGCAATTTATCAAAAAAAAAGGTTAACTATGTTGCATGGAGCAGAGTGTTGGGCAGTCAAGAAACATGTCCAGAAAATGAAGTGACAAAAATGTGGATGAGTGGAAAAACTATAAAGGATAGGATTAGGAATTAAGTTATCCATGGAAACCTAGGAGTAGCTCCAATAGATGATAAAATGAGAGAGAATAGACTAAGATGGTTTGGGCATATGTGCATAGAAGACCACCAGCTTCACCAAATAGAAGTGATTGCTAGAAGAGCTCGGGGTAGACCAAAAAGGACATGGTAGAAGTAGTAAGAAATGATTTAAGCACTAATAATTTAACAATGGATAAGGCTTTAAATAGAACGGATTAGCAAAATAGGATTCATGTAGCTGACCTCATATAGTTGGTATAAGGCATGGATGATGATGATTTGAGACTACACAGAAACAGTTCCACAAACATGTAAATTGCAAACTTACACATGCATTAGAATATCGGGTAGAAGCAATACCATCTTTCCTAAATTTGGAAAAAAAAAAAAAAAAAACTATATATTGGAGGATGCAGTCAAGTCGAGTTCCAACTGTACTGGTTCAAGAATGCAGATTGTCCTGTCATTTGACCAAGTTCAAACTTCAATCAAGGAAGCATATAAAGTGTCCCCTTTATCATTAACCTTCAGTTGTTACTTCTCTTTTCCTTTTTGAGCCATGTGTGATATTAGCCAGCCCAGTGCATGAGGCTCCTGCCAATGTGGGTCTGGGGAGGGACAGATGTGTGCAGCCTTACCCCTGCAGATTCACAGAGAGGCTGTTTCCAAGATAGGAAGATATGAACTCTGGTCAGCTAGATCACAATAGAGCAACCCAAGAGTAGTGCCAAGGCCCACCCTCATGTGTGATATTGCATAGTTAATTAAATATTGTATACATGCTTTGAAAGTTACCAAAGTTATGGAACTATGCCCATTTTTTAATTCTAGAATCCTGCATTCAGATGGTCGCCATCATGCATCTGTTGGTTCACAATTAGAATAATGCCAACAGGCAAGGCTTTATGTATCACCACTTCTCTTTGTGTGCTCTTCACATATTAGAACCCATTAAAAGATAGACAAAGGTTTACGTGGTGACCCACCATATCTGCAGTGCATGAAGGTGCCAGCTAGCTTTTCCTGGTAAATTCTCTAGCTAATTGTAGCTGTAACCTGGTAAATTCTCATGCACCGGGCTGCCCTTTTTATATATATGTATGTATGTCTGCAGTGCATAGAAGTGACAATAAAGCATTGCCTGCTAGAACTCTTTCAATTATTTCATCACATTCTTTATATGGCTGCAGGCCAGTGCATAGAAGTGATAATAAAGCTTTGCCTGCTAGAACCGCTCTTTCAATTATTTTATCACATTCTTTATGATACTCCAGAAAGTGAGGTGTATTTCATAAGCTTCCATTTTATGAGAAATGAACAAGGTGATAATGATTCAACCTGGAAGGTATTAAACCACTTGGACGAATTAACAGTGAAGTAGGTACACATGGAGAATCAATGACAGGTTACTGACCTTGGAAAATATAAATGGCATGAAAATTAAGAAAGTTGTTTGCAATAGCAAAAGCTGGAAAATATTAAGGTGAAATTGAATTGGGTAAAAATAAGTGTTAATTCTTTTGCTGATGGGTTAGCCAAACAAGGGGTGACTAGGGACTCCATGTTTTGGGCTCACTTGTAATCTCGTTCTCTTTGTTTTTCTGTTTTGTTTATGGATGGGGGGTTAAGAGATTTTACCTCCCTCTTTCTGTAATTAATTTTCTTAATGAAAGTTATATGAGTTATTGATAAAAAAAAAAAAAAGCAAAAGCTGGAGACAAATCATAGAAAGGCCATCTAGTTATATGGGGTCTTGGGAGGGGTAGACTGGATACACTCCTAAATCTTTGGCTTTTTTATTTTTTTTTTTGCACAAAGTGGCCTCAGACTTGAACCCACAAATCATAGCAATAGTCTTTAGTCTTAAGCTGGCTACCAACTGAGATTTGCAAAGGATATTCTTTAGGAAGTACTCCTTTGTAATACAAACCATTTAACTGATTATTTTAGAGTGACGAATGGAAAAGAAATTTCTTTTACCTTCTTCTTTTCCTCTTTGGTGTAACTCCAACAAACTTAAAAGGTTAAACTCCTCATCTCAACAGTAGGGTCATTCCACATTGAAAACCAAACCAATGAGCCACTAAACCTCTTAGTTGAAAGCCGTGATTTCAGCCCAACAGAACATTGCTCTCCAACCTAAAACTGTAAAAGTTAAAGTCCACTGGATCCTACACACTATAGCCATAAACCCTGATCTGCTATGAAACATCAGATTAGGGCAATAGAAATGGATGCAATTGAGTCTTCCTGATCTTGCTCAGTGCTTAGAGCATCTCCTTAGTCTATAATGTGTTATCTCATACTTTTAAGACAAGCCTCTTCAAATCAAACTTATCTCCCAACTCACCAGTTGTGCAAAGTCTGCATATGGGTTGTTCTTGCCCAAGCAATGTTACAAAGCAAATGTTTTTAACAGGATTCTTACAGCCTTTATGTCACAAAACAATTGAACTAAACACTCTTGAGCATCCTATCTCTTTAGTAGTAGAATATTTTAATAATATTATACTTTTTTGTTTTTAGCAGAAATTCGAGTGTTATTTTTGTTAGAAGTCATCACCATCTATTCTTCACATGTGGGTATTGTCGAATAACTTAGTCTTATTTCAGTTTAGTGCTGCAAGGGCACATATGTAATTGTACTTTATTTTATCTTTTGAATGGTTGCCCTAGTATAAATATTAAAAAGGCTGGCGCCGCCAGCTGACTCTTTTCTCTCCAGTCTCTTTTTTCTTTTCTCTCTTCTCCGGTTCTCCCTCTTCTCCTCTCACTATTTTGAGACCGTACTGCATCTTTACCAAGAAAACATGGTACCAGAGCAACAGATCCAATCTTAGCAGCAGGGCGATCAGTTTGTTTCTTCCCCCAACTACCTTATTTGTCTATTGGTGATCGAATCAAAGGAAAGAGGTTTCTGGTGGACGTGTGAAGGAGCTTGCTGTGTATTTCTTCCTCTCCTCTCTTGGTCATGAGCCCAGAAATCATCAAGGGGAGGGAAGCCGAATGCTGGGAGAGTTTTTCAAATTCTTTCCTCCTCAGCTTTGTGGATCGAACTGATCTTTTTTGTACCCAGGTGAGTGGGTTATGTGGGTCTAATGACCTGTGGCTAGTGTGAGAGTGTTTTCTCTCAATATATGTGGATCGAGTGATCCTTCTTATGCCCTGAAAGGTGGGCTGTTCAGGTCTGCAGTTCTGTAACTGCTGAGACAGCAGTTTTTTATTCTTCAGTTCATATTAAAACCTAAATTGTTGTGTGGAAATTTGATGAGTTATTAATTGTTGGAGGGACTGGTCAGACCTGTTTTTTGATATGTTTTGCACATCTGACCTGGTTTAGTAGGGTTGCAATTTGAGAACAAGTAATGGTGTGTGATCAGTTTTGATTATTCTGTGTGAAAACAAGTTTTTTTTGTGCCCAGAACTGTGGCTGAACTAACCTTGTTTGACTGAACTGTGAGTCTGAACTGAACTGAGAGCTTGTTCTCCGACTGGATTGTGCCTGAACCGAAATCAAGTTCTATGTCTTCTGAGGATTCTAGTATTTCTGGTGTGACCTCTAGTCAAAGTGGGATGAGTGGAGGTTTTGAAATGAGTTTTCCCATGGCTGTGATTCCCTTTGATGG